TAGCTAATATGATATTGCTGAAAATATAGAAGCTGAAAGCTTAACAAAGTCTGATTATCGATTTTAAAATAGACTAGGATAATGTAGAAATGAAACTATCGTAGGATCTCAATGAACATCTTAGAATACTATGTCGTATAACTCATATAGACTTTTGTGAGCACGGCTTTCTTCAATCATACATAGTAAAGCAGATGTCTTGCCCATCATCGAAATATTTTGTTAAAGGCTCCAAGATAACATAAATTATCTTGCATCATAGAACATATTATGTCGTATTATATATATACATAGACCCCTAATGAACAGGGCTCTTTTCTTTAAATATCTATATAGTTAAGTAGATGTTATTTCCATCATCCATAGTTTCTATTTCTAAAAAAGTTCTTGAAATAAAACGGCATAAAATCTTCGCATAAATAAAAACGTTGAATGAATTTATTTAAATCGTTTTTCGTCAATCTTACAATTGTTGCAAATTACTTAAGTATGTTTATATGTATGTATGTATGTATATATATATGTTAAATATATACACTGAATATGTACAGTTATTTGTAGTGTTGCATATACAGCTGGGAAATTACACAGAAGGAAATAGAATAGCGGATCGAGTGTGATAGATAGAAAGTATATTGTTGCAATAGACAGATAGATAGATAGGTAGATTGAAGAAGTATAAGAGGAATTGTCGGATAGGCAGGTGGTTTGTAAAGTTCTCAAGTAATAAGAAATTAACATGCTGTTATTTGTTGGTTGTAGTTGTTGTAATTGCAGTTGTTGGACTTATTTGCTGAACACAGATTTAACTCAAATGTGCGCGTGAGTGCGAGTGTGTTTCAGTTGAAGAACCGAGTGGTTCTCGGGTTCGCAAACGGGACTAAGAGCGGTGTGCTTAATAACTAATGGGTGGTTGTGTTGTGGTGGTGGTGGTAGAGTATCCGAGTAGAGAGTCGTTGAAATCGTGAAAAGAAGTGGATAGCGTAGAGTGAGAGAGAGACAACAACTGGTTGCGCCTGCTTCGCACGGTTCACTCCCGACTGTTGTCCTGCCCCGCCTGCCGCTCACTTCATTTGGCATGTTGTGGGTGTTTTTGGCAGCATTTACAGAGTACCGGGAGCAGGTGCCACATTCACGGAGGTGGCAGAGTTGATGTGACCGGCAAGGGGAGCGGTGTGGATGGCACCACGAGTCTTGGCAACATAGACACCCTCAGGACCATGGGGACCCAGGGCAGCGGGACCGGGACCCTGAGCTAGGGCAATGCCGGGAATACCAGCGTTCCAGCCGAGAGGACCGAGACCCCAGGGAGCGGCCTGGACGGCGACGGAAGCTGGGCCGGCCCAGCCGTTGTTCCAGGCACCATTCCAGGCGCCGTTCCAGGCACCATTCCAGGCACCTCCCCACAGAGCGGGACTGCCATGGGCCACCGAGTTCACATAGGAGACACCTGGAGCAATCGCGGCCCACGAAGCCTGAGCACCGGCGACGGCGCACACGAACATGACTACGGCAATGGCGAACTGTAAGTAGAGAGAGAAAGAGATAGAAGGTGAGAGGGTCCAGGATTAAACCAGAGCTAAATAGATCTTGAGCCAACCAGAAGCCAAGTCTCTTACCTTCATGTTGTTGTTGAGGGGTTTTGTGAAGAAGTTGAAGGAGTAGAAGAAAGGCTTGTTGATTGCTCAGCGAACGAGTTGATTCTGATTTCGACTACCAAATTGTGGTAACTTTTATACTAAAAAATTGGCGCGGACTTCGCACAGCAAATGCATTTCCAGCAGCAGCATAAAAAAGCAACAACACTGAACAAAACAAAACAACAAAAAACCTGCCCCACACAAAAGTAACAGCAACAACAAATGCACTCAAGCAAATATATATCAAATTCGAATAAACACACAAAAACTAGACTCAAAACAACGACGACGACGGCGACGACGCCCAAGCCAAAGGCTGGCACAAGCCAATGGCTGAGAGGCTCAGCTGGCGTCGCGGTCGCAGAATTGGAGCAGATCTGTCTAAGTGCTCTGCCCATGTAGTTGCTCTAAGCCTTTCACTGCTCAGCTGCGCAGTCGGCATCGTCGTCGTCGCCGTCGACGTCGGCGTCAAATCGTCCGGCTGCGATCTGCTGGGTGGTGTCGGCGTCTCTCTATGGAGCATCTAGTGGTGGGTCAGGCGAGTGCGGGCGGGGCCGCATTGTTGCGCAAATCGCAATAAGCAAGAATTTAGAGCCGAAGGAAACATACAAGCACACGTTCACACACGTACACACACATACTCAAAACTATCGGCCATTGCAATCGAAAACGCGAAAATTGCAATAACAACACCAACAACAAATGAAATTATATTGATAAAACCACAAACACATTTAAAAGCCATAAGCAAACGCTTACGGCTATGCGCACCCGCAATCCGCCAGCCTCACCTTCACCCTCTGCTGCCCATGCGCCATGCTCCACAATATTGTTTACTTGGGTGCATGCAAAACATAGTTATAAGCTGCTGCTATTGTGATTGTCAGAATATTTTTAATTATATATCACTTGGCGAACTCCCATAAAAAAACTCAAATGGTCGCGTGCTTGCACTGCAAGAAAACAGTTGACAAAATAAAAGAAAAATAGCGCAAAAAGTGCGCGTGCTGATGACGTCACAAGGAGCAAAAGTGACATGGCAAAGCGTGTCAACGATATCTCGATAACTCACGTCTGTTAAGCTCGATATGTAGCACAGGCCATCCCTATTGGTTGTCCTGCGCATTTTTGCTGCTGTAACTGAATTTTTTAATATTGAATTGAATTTTTCTCAGTGCTGTGCACAATTGCATTTCGCTGATTCCAAAGTAGGAAGGCATGTGCGCGGGCAACGCCCAAAAATAAATATAATCAAACGCTGTCAGCATTGGCAAACAATAAAAATGCAAAGCAATAAAAATAAACAGAAACTCAAATTGAACTGAACTACTTTTGCCATATTTGGAAGCATTGGTAAAGGCTTGCATACATATGTACATATTCAACTTGAAATTGACATAAGATGCAAATCACATTTAACACGGACCCCGCTCATTTAACGAGCAGGTCAAAGAGTCAAAGACAATTTTAAGCACCATGTTATTACACACGACCAGAACCATTTACAGACAGCTGCACGCTTTTGACAGCAAACGAAAATAAAATCAGGAAAAAAATGGACAACCAGCATTAATCACATTTAATGTGATTATCCACAGGGCAATTGGAATGCAATCAGCTTGCGCCATTACAGCAAATCAAATAAGAACCTTATCTTTAATATTCATAAGCCGAGCAAATTAAATCGGAATTCATTTTTATGATTTAAGCCGTTTAAATGGTAATCAAGCGTTAACTGTTTCTTATATTTCTATACAAGCAAATGATGCAATTTCTGGGCGTATTATATTTTTTAAATTTAAGTTTACCCGTTGAAGATTTCATCAAATTTGTATCTGTACTACTTTGCCCTATACATGTGCCATTCAGGTCCATTGTTTCGTGGCATAAATTGTATTTGGCAAAACGGTGGGTGGAGATTTAAGCCGCTTGGCTAATAACTATCTTGTCTGCGTTGTAATGATCGGTCAGTTATCGCCACAAAATCGACTAATTGGAGCTGCCTGCCTGGCTCTATTCACGAAACTCGTAAGGCAAGCACCAGGCTAGCTAGCGTGAACGATTATGCAAATTTGCCAATAATTTTTATACATTGAATTGCAGGTTTTGTTCTTGCATCTGGACATGCCCAAAAACAAGTTGCTTTAGCTTGGTGTTAGTGTCAGAGTTTTGCTGATTTTTATATTTTTAATACCTAATATGCAAAATACCTATCAGCTTAATTGCTTTTCATAAAATATATTTATAAGTTCAAACATCACATTGAATTTCTTGATTTGTTTTAAAAGTTTTTATTATATTTTCTTCAAAATAATGAATGCTTTGCAAGCTGCCGGATCACTAATTGCTATGGATATTAGTTGTCGAACAT